TTTAGTTGGGCCGGGCGGGCTTATCAAACTTAAGGCCCGCTGTGGGCTGGGCTGGGCCACGAAAAAATGGCCCGTTTCGAGGCCTGGTAACAATAGACTACGACACAAAGCCAAGAATAAACGACTTGAAATCAAAAATCATACCACATATATAATATTTATTTCATCAAAAATCTTATAAAATGATTAAAAATTAACAAAATTTTTCAATATCCTTTGCCATCAGTTCGACGTTAGGCCTTTCATAGCAACATCACTTGGCGAGCTACCTGTGCGTTCTTTCTTGGAACAGCCATGTCGTGGCATCCATATCTGGCAAGCTGCATGTTAATCTCCAATGTCTTCAATATCTCCTACACCTCCTCTGCCTCTATGTCCCACTACACCAGTGTATCCCTCTGTTCTTCCTGTCTCCTGTAGTTACTAGCTGCCTTGTATCCCTTTTGTCTCTATAACTGCTTTACCTATTTATATATTATAGTAGTGTAGAATCAAATTTCCAGAAAATCCTGCAAACGCATCATATGAGATATTTTGAAGAACCCATCCATTTCACATCGAACAGAAACGAATTTTATCGAAGAAATAACAATTTTTTTTTGCTTCGTCAGGATTCGTCATCTTCTCCTTCTCTTCTACCTCCTTGAATATTTGCTACGCCTTCTATGTACAGTCGGTTGCAATAGAATGTAGATTTAAAGGTACTTGAAAAAACGAAAGAAGAAGGGTAACAGAGCAGACAGAAACAGAACAGAAAGTGTTGTCATGGTGCAAAATTCAAACAACAAGTCATTTGAAAAAATCAGCAGAAGGTGTAAGTCGGAAGAATCCTTTCCAACAACACATAATCAGCATCATATACTTGACTCTGGTGAGTAAATCACTTGGAATAGTCGATGGCAACGGAAACTGTTTTTAAGGATATTATTTAGCGCTGAGATATAGATAGTAGTCTAACTTGTTTCTCCCATTTGATTCATCAGTGTGAGTAGTTAAAGAGTTGAGGGTATGGGTGGATTTGCGATTTCATTGAACACAGACGATATCCATACTCTGAGGCAACCCGTTTAAATTTGTTTTTTTACCGGAAAAACTTTCAAACAGTTGATAGATGTGTTTGATCAATGTCAAACGCATTAAAACTACAAATTATACGAAAGACACATGAATAGCTACGCGCCACGCAATCATGTATCGAAGTGCCGAGATAAATTTTGTACGATTCAACACGATAAAAAAGTCATTCAGTAAAATCACCAGCTAACCATCAGTGCTCTTGTGTCACTGCGAAAGTTTTCTAGTAACAGTAAAATATTTTGGCTATGCGACAGAACCCTTGGAAATTCAACCATGTGCTCAAGTAACTATTAGAGCGATAGTGAAAACTTCTGTTGTTGAAGAAGTCGGTGAAAAGATATAAACAAACGGCTCTAGATGAGTGGTTCTATCTGTGTTCACAAACGTGCGAGCGTTAGAAAACTGTCACTCTCACTAAAATTCACACACTAATAATTAGGGATTCGTACAATACAATTTTGGCAAATGGCAATGCGTGGAAGGAAATGGAAAAAGCTCAGCAGTGTAGAATAGTAAATGCAAATGTTCGCAACGAGTGTCACATTAAGTATGAATACTTAGTACTGTGACAGATTAGCTCTGATCAAGCCAACTATTAGTAAGAATTAGATTTGTAACAGTTCCAGCTCTCCGAAGCTGAAGCGGTAAACCAGGGTATGGGTGTGGAGTGTGCGTTTGGATTAAGCGAAGCTTAACATTCAGACCCACACTCACAACCTGTATGTTTTGTCCTTAAAATAGAGAAGAAAACGCCTTCCTCGAGTCTGATTGGGTGATAGGTAACAGGTATCAGCCAGTGAAAAATCACTAACACTCATACGGGTGCTCACGAGCGTGAGCTCTACAATCCTACTCCAACGACAGCCAATGGAGAGCTATATGTAATCCCTAGACAACCAACAGAGACCTATGAACACCCTACCAAGTTAGTCAGTGTAGACTTATAGGTCCCACAGAGAATATCTCATGGGAACCTGTGGATACCCCCTAGGATAGCTCATGGAGACCTATTGGCATCCCCCTAGGATAGCCAACGAATACCTATATGTACCTCCATAGGATAGTCCATGGGGATCTGTGAACACCCTCCTAGAGATAGACAATGGAGACCTATGGGGAACTCCTAGGATAACCAGAGGAGAGTTATAGATAGCCATCCCGAAAAATACTAGTCAACAGTTCCAGGCTCTGAGAGCTAAGTTGTTCACTAGCTTCAGCTCTCAAAAACCGAGCTGTTGAACAGCTCCAGCTACCATGAGCTGAGCTGGTCAACAAGCTCCAACTCGAGAAACGAAGCTGGAGCTGTCACAAACCCAGCAAAAATGAAGTAAAATATACTGCTGAACATGACATTCTGGCAGTCACAGTTGAGAACCTGAATACCTTTCGTCGCTAACCGTGTGCTAACTCCCGAGTAAACCCTCTCAACACTAGCAGTGATGTTGATGGCATCATATTCGAGCAGAGGTTCGGTCATGAGTAGAATAATCCATTCAACAACAGTAGAAGCTCGTTCAAAAATATAAGTCACACACGATACTTTCTAGATAATTTTATTTTCTTAGTTTACGATTCACTATATTTTTTCTGTTTCTTATTAACTACGAAATATTTTCTTCTGAAGATCGAGAAACACGTTTATAAACCAAGTGAAAGTTCTGCATTCTCAGAATATTTAGTATACTGAAGTCGACACAGTTTTGGCTTCGAGTGTGTTAGACTCAGTCATTCTCAGTCCTGAATAGATGGAGTATTGGGAACGGAAATTCGTGTATTTGTCCGGTATCTGATTGGTTGAATCAATGAACCAATAGAATTTCAGAATCTTAAAAATCAGCAAACCAGGTGTTTCTCTCGTTCGGGAATTAGCCAATAGGATTTCAGCATGCGAAAAACCAGCCAATCCGATGTATTTTCAATTTTCCTTTCAGCCAATCAGATTTTTTCCTTGCAAAAATCAGCCAATCGTATGTATTCTCAATTTTACTATTTGCCAATCGGGTATAGTTCACGTTTTCGTTCAACAATAGCAGCACTCCGTCGTTTAGTTGTGAGAGAAATGCATGGTCGTGGTTGAGAATGATTTTGTGTAATTACGAATTTGTGTGAATAGGACTTTTTAACAATTGTCAGGGTAGGGATGTGCCATTTAGAATGTTGATCTGAAAGCTTCGGGAGTGAATATGGATCAGTGTGTTCTTGTTTGTGAGGGTGGGATGGTGCAAGATTGTGGACCGTGACTATATGGTGTAAAGGTCATGTTTAGGTTCTGTTGAAAAATACTGCGATGTTTGCCGCCGTGTTGGGTTTAACTGTCGGTATCGACGAATATAGGGATTAACGTGTGTTATAAACAGTGACAGCATCGGCGCGAGGTGATAGTGTTGTGGGATTAGGTTGAGCACATACGGATGTGAGATTAAGAGCGTGAAAATGAGGGTAAGCGGAGAACACAGATAGGGCTAGCTAGGAACGTAAGAGTCAAAGCATAAGCGAAAGTGTCGTGGCGGAAAGACTTTGGCGTGGGGACGTGTCATTAAAAGCTGTAAGTTTATGATTGTGTGCATACGAATGATAGGATAAAGACGCCAGGATAGGCATACAAAGACAAGTTTATCAGGATCAGGCCTTGAGGGTAACGGTGCGAATAGTGGAGTTTGAGAATAAGGATATGAAGAGTAGGGTAGGAGAGTAAGAGAGTGAGCAAATAAAGGCGTCTTCAGATAGTTGCGAGAATAAAGTTGTGAGTGGGGCGGTTATAGGCTCGAAGTGTGAGCAAGACAGTACGAGAATATTCGTGTGCGTATAGAGATAGGAGTCTCATGGCGCGAGCACACAGGTGATAAAATAAGAGGCGAGAAGAGTGAAGATATGAACAGGAAGTAGTGCTCCTGTAAAAGTTTAAGGCCAGGAGCGTGAGGTGGCGAACCTTATTGTAGGAATGGCAGGGTAGGTGTGCTAGAATAAGAGCGTGCTATTAAAGGTCTATTGTTATGGATGTAAGCGTATGATTGAGAGGATAAGGTTATAAGCAGGACGGTGTGATGATAAGGGTGTGAGTAGAGCGATATAAGTGTCACGGTGCGTGCATGGGGATGGTAAAATAAAGGGCGAGAAGGAGAGATAGATAAGTAGGTAGGAGTGTGTGTAAAGATGTGAGAGCAGGTGTAGATGGGCGCGACTGTTAGTGTAGTTATTAGAGAGTAAGTGGGTTATTATGGGGATGCGTGATTAAGACGGTTAGATTATGCCTGTAGCATACACTTGGTAGGATAATAGTATGAGCAGGATGGTTGGGAAAGAAGTGAATCATTACAGAGATGGAAGCGTCAGGAGGGTGTGGGTGTGGGTGGGTGTGGGTGTGGCTGTGGGTGTGTGGGTGTGGGTGTGGGTGT